TGTGGCGGTGAATTCCATGTGTTAATCCCTCTTTGGGTGAAGAAGTACTTCCTTTTATCCATTCTAACCTGACCGCTCAGCAAATTCATGGAGTGCCCACGAGTTCTTGTCTTGTGAGAAAGGGAGAAAAGTACCTCTTTCTCTACCTGCTCTTTCCCATGCATAATCTTATAAAACTCGATCATGTCACCCCTCAGCTGCCGTTTCTCCAAGCTAAAGAGCCCCAAGCGCTTTAACCTTTCTTCATAGGGAAGGTGTTCCAACCCTTTGATCATTCTAGTTGCCCTTTTCTGCACTTTTCCCAATGCTATACTGTCCTTTTTGAGGTGTGATGACCAGAACTGTACACACGGCATGGAGAGAAAGAGAGAGAGTAAGAAACACACGCATACACAACGATCACCTTGTTGCCTTTCTGTGCCGCCTGGGTGATCCGAGAAGCAGGGCTGGGACTGATGTTCCTCCTTTCTAGGTACAAGATAAGAATCGAGTTGTTAGGAGCTGGCCTCATGTTTATAGCCAGCAGCTCCGTACAGAGCTGGGGAAACAGTTCTGAATTCTTCAGTCTCTGCATCCTCTATGTGACAGCATCTCCAAGTACTTGAAGGGCTGTCATAGAGAGGATGGTGGCAGAGTGGTTTTCTGTTGCCCCAGAAGGTCGGACGAGAACCAACGGGTTGAAATTAAACCAGAAGAGTTTTCGGCTAAACATGATAAGAGCTGTTCCTCTGTGGAGCAGGCTTCCGCGGGAGGTGACAGGCTCTCCTCCTGTGGAGGTTTTTAAGCAGAGACTTGATGGCTATCTGACAGCAATGCGGATTCTGTGAATTTAGGCAGATCGTGAGATGGAGGGCAGGAAGGGCTGCATCAGTGCTTAGTTCTCGTCAGTGTTCCCTCTAAGCTGAGCTAGTGTGAGCTAGCTCACAATTTTTTAGCCTCCAGCTCACACATTTTTTGTCTTCACTCAGGAAGGGATGGCTCCAGAGCAAACTAATTTATGCAGCAGCCAAATTGCTTAATCACAACTTTAATGCCAGTAGCTCACAAAGTAGAATTTTTGCTCACAAGATTCCACAGCTTAGAGGGAACATTGGTTCTCATGGCCCTTTCTTACATGCCCAGGGTAAATGCTGATTTCCACTTTGGGGTCAGGAAGGAATTTTCCTCCGGGCCAGACTGGCCTAGGGATCCGGGAGGTTTTTTGCCTTATGTCGGATGGTTTAGATGGTTTTAGAATTGTTTTAACTGTAATTTAGGTTTTAATGTAATTTATGTGTTCATTCCTATGTAAGCCACCCTGAGCCAGCCTTGGCAGAAATTTGATAAATAAATTAATAAATACTTTTAAAAATTATTTCAGTGCTCACTGAGGGCTTGGGGGGGAAGGTAGTTGTGCATTTCCTGCATTGTGGGGGGTTGGACTAGATGACCCTTGAGGTCCCTTCCAGCTCTGTTTCTAGGTCCCAGCATCGAGTTGTCAGCATCTGGTCTTGTGTTTATAGCCATCAGCTGTCCACAGAGCTAGGGAAACAGTTCTGATTCCTCCATCCCCATATCATATTGTAGGGCCCTGGGATTTGTTCAGCCATCCAAGAGGGTCCCGTGTTTTTCCAGCATAATCTGTAAGTCTCCCATTTCACTCGCTTCTCTGCTTATCTCATTGCAGAACGTAAACCACAAAGGGCCTTACGGTTACCAGAAGCTGAAAGAACGGTGAGTTTTCCTCCCACCCCCATCGCCACATCTTTGAAAATCCCTTCCTATTTCTGTGTAAATGGGAGAACAGGGAGGTATTTTTTGTGGACTGCCGGGGGGATTCTGGACAGAAGACCTCAGTAGAATGTTGATATAAGGAAGGTGTCGGTTCACTCCTGGCTTCTAAAAGCTGAAGTGTGCTGAGGCACAGACAAGACACAGAGCCATCAAGGGTAACAAAGCAAGGAAGCACTGAATAAATACCGCCCCCCTGCTTTTAACTAGTATTTATACCCTTACAATGCTACCTGCCTACTGCAGCAGATGAGAACATTTCAGAAGAAAATCAGCTTGTGTTTCATCGTTTACTGCAAATATTTTGATTGTGTGGATCATGAAAAGGTATGGTTGAGCGGTGGCTCAAGTGGTTAAGACGCTGAACTGCAGGCTGTGGAAGGTCGGTAGTTCAGCAGTTCGAGACCCGAATGTGCCGCATGACGGAGTGAGCTCCCGTCTCTGGTTCCAGCTCCTGCCAGCCTAGCAGTTTGAAAGCAAGAAATTGCAAGTAGATAAATAGGTACCACTTGAGATACTTTCTGATTGTAGCACGGTATTTCTTGATTTTCAGTCTGTATGCACAACATATCATAAGGAAAGCTGGATTAGATGTAGATGAAAGTGGAGTGAAAACTGGTGGAAGGAACATTTAACAATTTCAGCGTGCAGATGACACTGCATTACAGGCATAAAATAGTGAAGACTCAAAACGGACTACTGATTCAAGTTACCGCAGAAAGTGCCGAAGCAGGATTTTACGGACGTAATCTCCTTCTGACTTCTTGCTGGCGGTCTTCCATTTGGTTGATGCTGGGGCCAAGGAATAGAAAATCTTTCATGATTTCAGTTTCTTCATTCTCATCCTGAAAGTTGTACAATTCCCCAGTAGTCATTACTTTGGTCTTCTTGATGTTCAACTGTAACCCTGCTTCATTTACGGTAGCTCAAGTGGTTAAGACGCTGAACTGCAGGCTGTGGAAGGACAGTAGTTCAGCAGTTCGAGACCCAGGTGCCGCATGATGAAGTGAACTCCCATCTCTAGTTCCAGCTCCTGCCAACCTAGCAGTTCGAAAGCAAGAAATTGCAAGTAGATAAATAGGTACCACTTCGGTGGGAAGGGAACAGCGTTCCGTGTGCCTCGGTGTTTAGTCATGCCGGCCACATGACCACGGAAACGTCTTCAGACAGCGCTGGCTCTTCAGCTTTGAAACGGAGATGAGCACCGCAACCCTAGAGTCGGATTCAACTGGCTTTCGAGCAAGGGAACCTTTACCCTTTTATTTACTTTAACTTTTGTACAGAGAAGGCTTTCCACTGCACTTTCCAACATTTCTTCTTCTTTCCTTTCCTTCTTTCTTTCTTTTGTACAGAGAAGGCCGAGCGTGCATCCGATTCAAGTGCGCCCTCACAAACACCATCTTAGACGTCCTGCGTCAGAGGCCAGGATGGGTGGAAGTAAAAGAGTAAGACTTGTGTTTTTTCTTCTTCCGGGCACCACGGTTTCAGCAGAGAGTAGAGGTGCAGATTCCTTTCCTTAGCTAAGCTAGAGCACAAATGTAGAAGTTGGTTTTCTGGTAGAAAAGAGCTAGACCGATTTCCCACAAGCAGCTGTGCCGCCCTCGCTCCCCCCCCCCCCCCCCCGATTCTATTCGTCAATCTCCCACTACTTGCTGCATCCCCCCGATTTCCCCCACATCTTCTCGATCCTTGTTTTTTGAGACGGAGAAGATGCAGGGGAAATAGGGGGATGCTGCGGGTCAAAATGTGGCCGCGCAGCAAGTAGTGGGAAATTGACGGATACAATTGGGGGGGAAGGGAAGAGTGAGGGTGGTGCAGCTGCTTGTGGGAAATCGGTCCCAGAGTCCAGGAGCACCTTAAAGGCTGACAAGATTTGAGGCAGGGCGTGAGCTTTTGTAAGTCACTGCTCCCTTCTTCAGAGAATAACAGCTAGAATGTAAATCCATCTGCCTTTATGTCATAGAAACAGGGCTCTTTTTGTAGAAAAAGCCCAGCACGAACTCATTAGCATAACAGGCCACACCCAACAGCAGAAACTCATTAGCATATTAGGCCACACCCCTGGTGGCACAGCTCATTAGCATATTAGGCCATACCCAACAGCAGAAACTCATTAGCATATTAGGCCACACCCCTGATGGTACAGCTCATTAGCATAATAGGCCACACCCAACAGCAGAAACTCATTAGCATATTAGGCCACACCCCCAACAGCACAGCTCGTTAGCACATTAGGCCGCACCCCCATGTTACCAGAAGTGTGGTCATCCAGCCACACCCACCTTTCCCTTCTTATTCTGTTTACCTTGTTTGTTGTCAAAACCCAGGGCCTTTTTTTTGTAGCAGGAACTCCTTTGCATGTTAGGCCACACACCCCTAACGTAGCCAATCCTAATGAGTTCCTGCTGTTGGGTGTGGCCTGTTATGCTAATGAGTTTCTGCTGGGCGTGGCCAACTCGGGAGCCAGCCGGAACTCCGTTCCTGTGCGTTCCTGCCCCAAAATAGCCCTGCATAGAATCATAGAATGTTAGAGCTGGAAGGGACCTTGCAGGTCATCTAGTCCAACCCCCTGCCCTCCCTTGTCTTGGAGAGTGGACAGGTGGACTCACCTTTTAGCTGTGTGTGAAGAAGGGAGCAGTGACTCAGGACAGCTCCTACCCCGCCACAAACTTTGTTAGCCTTGAAGGTGCTCCTTTCCACTGCTACAGGGCAGACTAACACGGCTGCCCATCTTGGTTTCCTGGTGCAAGACATGAGCAAGCCTGCCGAGGACATCACTTCAGTGGAACGTTCCAAACGGGAGCTTGGTTGGTTTGCAGTAGGAGTGCTTGACTCACGTCCAGGAACACCTTAGAGACCAACGAGAGTTTTGGGGTACGAGCTTTCGAGAATAAAAGCTCCAGGGAGCTTTATCTCTCCAAAGCATATACCTCGAAACTTTTGTCGGTCTCTAAGGTAACAGCATCCCGTGCGCTTCGGCGTCTAGTCATGCCAGCCACATGGCCACGGAGAAGTCTTCGGACCGCGCCGGCTCTTTGGCTTGGAAACGGAGATGAGCACCGCCCCCTAGAGCCAGTTTCGACTGGCTTTCGAACAAGGGAAACCTTTACCTTTAAGGTCCTACTGGGCTCCAATCCAGCCCTTCAGTGGAGGCTCCCTTTCTAATTCAGCGGCTTCAGGAGCCCCCGCTTTCCACCCTGGCAAAGAAAATCCTACAAACCACCAGGGGTCATTTCCTGCAGGAGTGCACAGGAGCGGAGCTCCGGCAGTAAAGAGCCCGGGGGGTGGGCACATGCAACAAGCCCCGCCCCCTGCTCCCAGCAGCCCTCAGTCAGAGCAAGAAACAGCCAGGTAAGTTGCAGAGCCCCCCCCCAGCCCCCCGGCCCAAAACAGTCCAGTGGCACCTTTAAGACCAAGGTTTATTCAGGTACAAGCTCTCCCTCCTCTGTGAGGACAGATCTGCACGTCCCCCCCCCCCCATAGCTAGCAATCCTAAAGAGTCCAGTGGAACCTGAGTGGTGGGTGTTGCCTTCTGACACACTTCCAGTGATGTCAGGGGGTGTGGCATATGTAAATGAGTTATGCTAATGAGCTCCTGCACCACTTTTTCTACGAAATGACCCCTGCAAATCACCCTTTTGAACTGCCTGGGGCTTGGGCTCACTGAACCTCTCCCCAACCATAGCAGAGTCAATGAAAAAGGCATTCGTCAAGTCGTTTACTGGGTGGCCCTCCTAGAGCAGCACGCTTTCCCTGTCCCTGCTCCAGATTCCTGCCAGGCCACTGACTCCCTCTGGGCTAGACCTCCCCCCCCACCCAATTGGAGTATAAACTTGCAAGACTAGAGCTGCTAAGTCTGGGTTGTGAAAGTGGTGGAGATTGTGGGGGTGACGCCCGGGGAGGGTGGGATTTGGGGAGGGGAGGGACCTCAACAGGGTGCGGTGCCATGGAGTCCACCCTCCGTAGCAGTGATTTTCTCCAGGTGAACCGATCTCTGTCGTCTGGAGATGCGCTGTGATTCTGGGAGATCTCCAGGCTCCACCTTGGGGTTGAAAAGGAGAGATCACGGGAGGAAGCGGGAATCCGAAAGCAACATCCGTGACAAAAAATAACGAAGAGTCAATAAAGATACATTGCAAAATCATTTACCATAGTAATTCTGTAGAAAATTCTCTTCTGTTATCGCTCACACGATAACGAATGCTGCGCCATGTAAACCATTCGTTTCACAATATTTGCTTTATCTGAGCATGTAGCAATCACAGTTCTTGTCAATTACTACTTATCAACTCTTGAAGGAAACATTCCATGTTGACTCTCTAATAGCAGAACCCCAAGGTAGCGTCACACCTATCCTGGAGGATCCTCGTCTGGCCCTGAGCTTCCAGGAATCCAGTGAAGCTGGAAATCTGACCCGCCAGACTGGATGCCTCTCCTCCCTAATTCCCGATAAACGAGTGCTTTAGTGCTAAAGAAAGTACATTCTACACATACCCAGAGAAGCTCTTTTCTGTATTTGCATTTTGAGAGTGGAACCCTGGAGCACGGGGTGTGCAAAGCTGGAACTGCCCGAATGTTCCCTTCAACTCTGAGGAAGGAAGCTTTGACTCTCAAAAGCTTCTATCCCAAAATCTTGACAGTCTCTGACCGATTTCACACAAGAGCTGCGCCGTGGTCGTGCCTCCCTTTGCCCCGCTTCTATTGGTCAATTTCCCACTTGAATCCGCGCGGCCGCATTTTGACCCGCGGCTTCGCCCAATTTTCTCCGCGGTTTCGTGATCCTCAAAAAACAGGATCACGAAACCGCGAGGAAAATCAGGTGAAGCCGCGGGGCAAAATAAGGCACCGCGGCTTCTTTCTATTGGTCAATCAGGAGCACCTAGTGTTTCTAGCCACTGTGTGACAGAGTATTGGACTGGATGGCCCATTGGCCTGATCCGACACTGGTTTCTCTTATGTTCTTATAAGAGGAAATTGGATAACATATGCCTCCTGATGGCACCTAGTGTTTCTAGCCACTGTGTGACAGAGTATTGGACTGGATGGCCCATTGGCCTGATCCGACACTGGCTTCTCTTATGTTCTTATAAGAGGAAATTGGATAACATATGGAGCAGAGGTCCGTCAGTGGCTATTAGCCACAAGGTATAGAAAGGAGCTCTCGGTGTGGGGCAAGTGATGTTCTGTATTCTTGGTGCTTGTGGGGGGGCAACACTGGGAGGGCTCCTAGTGTCCTGGCCCCGCTGGTGGACCTCCTGATGGCACCTGATGTTTTTGGCCACTGTGTGACAGAGTGTCGGACTGGAAGGGCCTTTGGCCTGATCCAACATTGGTGTCTCTTATGTTCTTATAAGAGGGAATTGGATAAACATATGGAGCAGAGGTCCGTCAGTGGCTATTAGCCACAAGGTATAGAGAGGAGCTCTCCGTGTGGGGCCAGTGATGTTCTGTATTCTTGGTGCTTGTGGGGGGGCAACACTGGGAGGGCTTCTAGTGGGGCCAGGACGCTTAGAATCATCCTTTATTCAGCTCTCAAGCATCCAAAGGATCAGTTTACTCACGTCCCATTTTCAGGTGGCTGATAGGAGCATCTTAAAGTCCAGAGTCTATTGAGTGATTCATGCCGTAAAAGGAGATGAGTCCCTCCTGTCTCCTTAGCTGTGCAGGAAAGGCGGGTTATAAATAGAAAATAATAAACAAATACCGAACAAAGGGAGGAAAAGGACAATAAAACGTACTTTTGCGGGCTAGTTTATTGCAGGAATAGGAAGCTGTATAGAACCAATCAGGAAGTCTACTTCAGACCGACTGACCCTGAGGTTGCTAGAACTACAGTTCTCAGAATTCATTATATGTTTAAAGATACAGTAAGCAATTTGCTCTGCTTTACTATCCTGATATCTGCTGGGGACAGCACAGTACTCACTGCCACCACATGCTCGTTTTGGAACAGGACTCCCAGTTCTCTTCCTTAGTTCTGAGGCCTGGCCTCAGTGTCTCCACTACCCAGCGACTGGTTACCACGGGGACCAAATACTGCTTTGCGGCTCCCCTGGGAAAATAGCCACGTGCCCACTGACCGCTTTCCTCCCAACCCGGGGCCCCCCTCTTGCACTAGCCTGTCCAAGACAGTGGGGGAATGTAGGCAGTACAGAGATTGTGAACCGACCTCCAAAGTCAAAAAACGATGTATTGAAAAGAAAATATTTGCAAGCATCCTTAAGCACAGCGCTAGATCAGCAAACGGATCATAAACACAGTCCTCTTTTCCCCTTCTCTAGAAATACCCTAAACCAGGGGTCATTTTGTAGAAAAAGAGCTAGGGGAACTCATTAGCATAACTCATTAGCATATGCCACACCCCCTGACATCAGGGGCCCAGCGGTGGACCTGCAAGGGCGGCGGGAGTGCAAGGAAGCCCCGCGTAGGCCCTCCCTGGCCCCAG